AATCAGTAAGAGAAGGTACGACGAATCGATTATATAACTCTAAGCACATATGAGTATATATTTCTAAGCATAAATGACAATCCAACAATATAAACCTAACACACAGGACCTCTTCAAGATAAAACCGGCAACATAATGAAACATGACTACATTAACTTAATGGCAAAAGACATGCAGACATGAAACGCATAAAGGATAAGGGAGACTTAACAGTGGTTAAAAACACAAGGAGAAACTAATAAACAAATGAACTTAGTTAAACTAATAAACTTAAACATACCATAAACCATAAACATCAAAATAAACTTGAACTTAAAACGCTGGGTCAAAAAACCCAGGATCGTGACACAACACAGCTGATTTAAAGGCTAAATTACCTCCTCAACATGTCTTGAAGTTCTCCAGAGGCCTGGTAATGAACTAATCATTTGATTCAGGTGTGTTGACCCAGGGTGAGATCTAAAACCTGCAGGACTCCGGCCCTCAAGGCCTGGAGCTCAACACCCCTGGCGTTAGCAGCTAGCCTCGCATTAGCTCCTCCACGCTTACCCTGCTTCCACATCCTATCACACCGCTTTCTGTGTTTCCTCTTGGGTGTTACTCCAGGCGTATTTATGGATTTTCTCCAGCTTGCTTGGCATAGGAGCCCAAGCTCACCCAACACAGTGAGGAGATATTTCTTTTAGCACGAGATATGGTTATGAGCTTTCCAAGATAATCGCATTTGTAAAAGACACTGCTGCTCATACACACACTTCTCTTTCACACAGTTTATATTGGCACTACATGGTCTTTGTTAGCGTCAGGCTTATTGTTAAGTATTCATCTTCAATTTCTGTACACTTATTCATACATGCAGAACAAATGAATCATTTGTCCATTAAAAAGTATGTGATATGTCAGTCATCATTTTTATTATGGCTATAAGTACACGTCTCACCTTTTCATAGTGCATTTACACTCTTTTAACTAGAGAACATTGATTTCCAGTGTGATTCAGTTCATACTGGTTTGGAAAGGCTGTACCAGTGGCTGTCCAAGTTGCAAGTTTTTTGCTTCACTTGAGGTATTTCAAAAATGGTATTTTCCTGGGTGTTGGAATTTTTTTTTTTTTTTTTTTTTTTTTTTTATTCTACTATCGTGATAAGCCTGCTGTAATCAGCACACTCCAGCGTCACTCATTTTCTCCGGATTGTAGCTACTGGCAATTGCCCTTCTGTTGGTCCATGGGATAAGAAACTCGAAGAAGATCTGATTTTATAACAAACACCACAGATTATTGCTCTGTATTGTATTTCCTTGGACTCCAGTTTTGGCACAAACAAACTTCACATTGCAAATATAACACATCTCAGGGACCACCTTCTTTCATCGGGGTATCCATTTCATCAGCGCTTGACTGTTTTAATGTATTCTGGATGTCCAAATAAGGCTTTGAAATAACTTTTTAGGTTAATGTAATAATCATAAATTAGAAATCTGGAGAGCAGAAAATCCATGTGGGATGGCAGTCTCAGCTGTACTAACAAATATTGCCACACTAACATGCTTAAACTACTTTTGGCTGTTCCCTGATTCAGCGGTCACCACACATTTATTTGTGCAGTTTTGTCTACGGCCTTTTTATGGCTTTATTTTGAAAATCGCACAGCTCTCAGCTGTGCAATTTTATATGGTTAACTGCTCATTCCAGTGAGCAAACCAGTGCTCAAAGGCAGTTTTTATTTTTAATGCTGAATGCTCTTCTATCTATATATGTACTGTAAGAGCTGAACTCTTCCACAGCATGCATTTTTTTATTTCTCATTGATATTTGGCCGTATTGGGGCCCGATGAATGTAAAAACATAGAATTGCCAGATTTTTTTTTTTTTTTAACCTGATTTTTGTTTCTAAGAAAAATTAGGATATTCATTTAAAATGTCGATAGAACAGCAGCAGTATAATGTCCTCGTAAGTGGATATCAGGCCCTTGTAGAGCAAAATTGAGTATTTTGGTCTAAATAACCCAAAATGTGATCCCCACATATGTGGATGCCAGGTCCTAGGAGGCCAAGCGCTTGTTTTTTGCGTGAAGGGGGCACACAAGTTATCTGCCGAGCAGCAGTGAACAATACAGGAAAATGATCGGAGATGCACAACTCAGATATTTCCATTATGCACACATCCAGCCCGTGGGAAAGCACCAAGTCCAGTGTGTGACCTTTTTCATGCGTGGGACCGGTAACTCACTGGGTCAAGTTAAAAGAGTCAATAATATTTAAAAAGTCCTTGACCATAAGTTTGGAGTCACAGCAGACATGGATGTTTAAATCACCAAAGATTAAAAAAACTGTCAAATTTAAGAACAATTCCAGCAATAAAATCTGAAAACTCTTTGATAAAATCCTTATTAAACTTGGGAGGACGGTGTATGAGGCCACACAACAATGGGACAGCAGAGTTCAGGTGCAACTCAAACAGCTGCAGTTCAAAACTAGAAAATGAATCGTGCTGTAATGTTTGATGGCAGTGAAGTCGAGCGTTGAACACGGTGGCTAAAGATTATGCAATGCTTTGATTGTGTGGATCCTGTTTCTCTTTATTCTTTATCTTTTCTTCAAGTTGCTTCCGTACGTTTTTCGGCGCTTAACTACTCCCTCAGTTTTCAGCCGATTTTCTCAGTTCAAATCTTAAAAAATTCTGCTCTTTCTGCTAATTCCAGCTATGACTTTTGGTGCTCATAACTTCTATACTTTTTGAGATATTGATTTTTCTTTTCAATATTTTTTGCCTATTTCTGCACATTATCAGTGGCCTCACTGATTTTCCTTGCCGGGTTGAGCTGTGTTTTAGCTCAGTGAGATGAGCATCTGTTCTCGGACTGGGAGGCCCGGGTTCAAATCCCGCTTATGACACCATTTTTTCAGTTAACTCTTTTCAACACAAATTTAAGCTTTTTCACCCCTTTTCAGCACATTTTTCAGTTTTTTTCACCACTTTTCAGCAGAAATATCAGCTTTTTCAACTGTTTTCAGCAAAAACCTCTTTTCAGCAGAATTTTGCTCATTGAACTCTTTTCAGAAGAAATTCTGCTGATTGAACTCTTTTCAGCAAAATATTCAGAGTTTTCACCTCTTTTCTGCCCAAATTCTGCTTATTCACCTCTTCTGTAAAATTTTCAACCTTTCCACCTCTTATCAGCACAATTCTCAGCAGCTTCTATGTCATCTCTTGTGTTGGAGTGTCCTCTTGTGGCGCCTTTTGGGTAGTGCCTTATCAGCACAATACTCAGCCTCTTCTGCTCATTTCAGGACAATTGTCAGTCTCTCCACCTCTTCTTTGTGAGAAAGAGTGTGGCGCAGTGAGATATATACCTGCCTTGAGTACCAGAAGGGCCAGGTTCGAATCCTGCTCAGGGCAACATTTTTTTTTTCAACCTTTTCAGCTTTTTTCACCAGACATCTTCAGCGTTAAGGCATCCACACAGCATTTTCGCAGGAAATGCAAATTTTTCTAGTTTCTTTTCTTTTTCTTTCTTTCTTTTTTTTTTTTTTTTTTTTTTTTTTTTTTCTTCCTTTCCCGTTTGGCTCTTTTGCCATCAGAATTATTGTCTAAAGGCAAAGAAAGATGCCCAACGGATTTACTTTACCAAATTGACCATCCCAGCCTTGCCATAATGGTCTATTTTATTCACCTTTTATTGTTTATTTTATTTTATTTTCACTTGTTAAATACGGGACAGGCTTGACTGGGGAAAAGAAAGGAGAGAAAGAAAGGGAAAGAAAAACAGCGGGGAAGAGGGACGGGGATAAAGGGCAAAAAACAAAACCCAACAAAATAAGTAGACAGAAAATACGTATACCAATCACCTGGATCACCTGTTAAAAAAGAAAAAAGAGAAAACAAGCAGAAGAAAAAAAAAGCAACATAATAAAGAACATCATGATGATCTATGGGAATATAACAGTAAATACTAAATATTAAACATTATTGTGCAGCACGTAAGATCGACAGCGCACAGTGTGCTTTGAGGTAGGAGCCAAAAAGGGTGTCGTTTGTGTGTGTGAGCACCCGTGTGTACACCTGTGAGCATGAACGCGCTTGTTTTTAAAAGGTTCCTTCATGTAATGATCTGCCACTATCCCAGAAAGAGCTGGGGAGAGCCCCAGATGAGGGGTCACTCAGCAGCTGGGGAGCAGAAGCCAGGGGGGGTTGCAGTGACGCGCCTGTGAGCTCCGCCAGCAGCCAGCTGTGCCAGAGTGACCGAGCCCCAGGCCAAGAGGCCGAGGGCACCTCACCCACGAAGTGGCCTGAGTGAGACCCTCACCCACGAAGTGGCCTGAGTGAGACCCTCACCCACGAAGTGGCCTGAGTGAGCCCCAGGCTCCAGTCCCCGACAAGCAGCCACCAAGGAGTGAGCCGGTGTGTACCTGGACGCACATCCCCAGACACAAAGAACCACCAACGCACTGATGTCAAGATCCTATATGTATGTGATATGAGAGTGTGAGTAATGTGGATATCTAAGTTGTGGGATGAAATTTAGGCACCGACAGCTAGAAGGGAGCAGAGGGGGGGATGCCTCCCCTGCACCCTGGTGACACACCTTTACCCTAAGGCCCTGCATGTGTGGGTGATTGTGGTGGAGCGGGAAGAGGGAGGCAGTTGGAGATGGGGAGGGAAGGAAGGGAGGGGCACGTGACCCCTCCCTGGGCCCAGCTGACCCCAGTAGGCACCCCCATACTCTGCCCAGGCCCATCCGGACCTGGGCCCAGTTCAGCAGCGCCGCCTGGCCCCACAGAGCCTGGGACAGCCCACCCGACCCCACTACAGAAAACTGCACCCACCCTGTCATCCACTCATCTTCCAGACTACACAAGACAATAGACACCCAGGCTGAGAACTTCCTCCACCTCTCCTATATCTCCCCCTCCTGCAGAGTTAGTTCCTGAAGAGAGGAGACCTCCTGCAAGCTGTAACAACCTCCCCCACCAGTTGAAGACCCCCCCAGGTGGCTCGATGCACTGGCGACACCCTACGCCAGGGCTGTACCCCCAGACACCCACCCACCCCAGCAACACACAAACCGGGACCCAAGCCCCCAAGGCCCAGCCAGGGCCCCAGCCCAGAGACAGAGCACCCCCAGGACCCACCCAGGGGCAGCCAGGCTACCAGGTCAGTAACCCATGTCCGTCAGCACAGACCCTCCCCCCTATGCTCCTGGGGAATCCCCCGACGCCCCAAGTAGGGCTGTTCGATATAACGATTTATATCGGATGACAATATAAAAACTTCTATCGTTTCATTTTACGCTATCGTTTTTTTTGTGGTGTCGCAAAATAAACTGTTTACGGCAATATTTTTTCATTATTTTGATGGTCACTGTAGTGGCTATGTTAATTTCTTAAAGTTCTCTCTTTCTCTTATATTTAATATAACCACACTACAGACAGACAAGCGCTTGTTTTTATGCCTTGTGGTTAGCAACAGCGATGGTAAAACCACCGCGTGTCCGCTTGTTTATTTTCCACATAAACCTTTCACAATAAAGCTCAAGATCCTCTCGAGACTTTTCAAAATAAACAGAATCACGTGAAAGATGCAGAGTATTTATGGATGAGAAGCAAGAAAGAGCCGTCAGGTGCTAAAAAATAAACCTTAGACTCAAACGTTAGAACAGGCTTTCCCCCGCAGCATGTTGTATAATAAATACTCAGAAAGAAAACGGCGGCTGTTACAACCTATGTCTAAAAATGTATTGTTTCATGCATCAGTTAAAACACTCGACTCCAGGTAGGCAACGCCCAGCTGGAAAAACTTCATGCAAGTCGAGCTGCCCGAGATTCACAGAATTTACAGAAAATATCACATTTTTGTGATTTATATCGTTATTGGACGATAGATGTCTTAATATCGGGATATGAGATTTTTGGTCATATCGCACAGCCCTAGCCCCAAGCCCGTCCCTACCCCCAAACCAATCACAACAGCGAAGGTGGGACCAAACTATGACACCCCCCCCCCCCCCACTAGGTGATGGAGCTGATCAAAGGTTTCTAAGGTTATGTTTCTGGGAGGAACCTAAGTCACCCAGTCGCCGTTTAATATCAGGTATTGCACTAATGCAATAATCAAAGTTTCTGTTTTGGCCGGGTTTACCGTATTTTCGCAACTATAAGGCGCACATAAAAGCCTTAGATTTTCTTTAAAAAGTGCGGCGCGCCCTATAGTGCAGTGCGCCCTGTGTGTTGTAAGGAGGACGTAGTAGAGAACACCTTGAGAACGCTAAAGGGTGAAGTGTGGGCGCTGATCGTATATACCGGACAATCGCACATACCTGTATAAAAGGACAGGTATGTGCATTATGTGGAACATCGTTGTTTTAACAACCCTGAAAATGGCAAAGAGACACGCCTATGAAGCACAGTTTAAACTGAAGGCCATCAGCTACGCGGAGGAACATGGAAATCGAGCAGCCACGAGAGAATTTAAGATGAATGAATCAATGGTTTGCAAGTGGAGGAAGCTGGAAAACAAGCTCCGGCAGGTCAAGAAAATGCAGCTGAGTTTCCGCGGACATAAGGCGAGGTGGCCCGAGTTGGAGGAAAGACTCGAGCGGTGGATCATCGAGCAAAGAACGAGCGGGAGAAGCGTTTCAACGGTCACCATTCGGCTAAAAGCAGTTTCACTAGCTGAAGAGATGAACATTGAACATTTCCAAGGAGGTCCGTCTTGGTGCTTTCGTTTCATGAAACGGTGCCATTTTTCCATCCGGACCAGGACTATGGTAGCGCAGCAACTTCCAGCGGATTATAATGAAAAGCTGGCCATCTTCCGCTCCTACTGCAGCAAACACATCAGCGACAAAAACATCCAGCCCAGCCACATCACAAACATGGACGAGGTGCCGCTCACTTTTGATATCCCGGTGAGTCACACTGTGGAGAAGAAGGGGACCAGCACGGTAGCGATACGCACAACGGGGCACGAAAAGTCTTCTTTCACTGTTGTGCTTGGCTGCCATGCTAATGGACAGAAACTGCCGCCTATGGTGATTTTTAAGAGAAAGACTTTGCCTAAAGAGAAGTTTCATTACATGAAGGAACCTTTTAAAAAAACAAGCGCGTCCATGCTCACAGGTGTACACGCGGGTGATCACACCCACAAACTACACCCTTTTTGGCTCCTACCTCAAAGCACACTGTGTTCTGTTGATCTTATGTGCTGCACAATAATGTTTAACATTTAGTATTTACTGTCATATTCCCATATATCATTGTGATGTTGTTTATTCTATTACTCTTGTTCTCTTCTGCTTGCTTTCTTTTTTCTTTCTCAGCAGGTGATCCAGGTGATTGATATATGCATTGTTTTTTTTTCTCTGCCCGTTCTGTTGGTTTTTGTCTTTTGCCCTTCTCCCCCGTCCCTCTTCTCAGCTGTTTCTCTTTCCCTCTTTCTTTCTCCCCTTCTTTCCCCCAGTCAAGTCTGTCCTGTATTCAGTAAGTGAAAATAAAATAAACAATAAAAGGTGAATCAAATGGACCATTACGGCAAGGCTGGGATGGTCAGTTTGGTAAAGTAAATCCGTTGGGCATCTTTCTTTGCCTTTAGACAACAATTCTGATGGCAAAAGAACCAAACGGGACAGGCCAAAAAAAAAGAGAAAAAAAAAAAAAAAAAAAAAAAAAAAGAGAAGTTTCCAGCAGGAATCATCATTAAGGCAAATGAAAAGGGCTGGATGGATGAGGAAATGATGAAAGAGTGGCTGAGGGAGGTGTATGTAAGGAGACCAGGTGGTTTTTTCCACGCATCACCATCGCTGTTGATCTGTGACTCTATGCGTACCCATCTCACAGCCGATGTGAAAAAACTAGTGAAACAAATGAACTGTGAGCTTGCTGTCATTCCGGGAGGCCTGACAAAGGAACTCCAACCGCTGGACATCGGTGTGAACCGGCCGTTCAAAGTAAGGCTGCGAGCGGCGTGGGAGCAATGGATGACCGATGGGGACCACAGTTTGACTAAGAGTGGAAGGCAGCGCTGGGCGAGTTACGCCACAATTTGCGAATGGATTGTAGATGCTTGGGCTAACATGTCTGCTGGCACTGTTGTTCGAGCTTTCGCAAAAGCCGGCATCATTTCCAAGGAGCCGCACGGCACGGAAAGTGACTCTGACAGTGAAGAAAGTGAACTTGGCATGTTTGATGGAGATTTAGTGCAGCTGTTCAATTCAGACACAGAGGATGAGGACTTCGATGGGTTTGATTGATGACAATTACCGGTAATAAAAATGTGAGTACCAAACTCAGTTTTGCTCCCGCTTCATTTTTAGATACACATACTTGTATGTTTGTATGCTGATGATGATGACAATTACCGGTAATAAAAATGTGAGTACCAAACTTTGTTTTGCTCCCGCTTCATTTTTAAATACACATACTTGTATGTTTGTATGCTGATGATGATGACAATTACCGGTAATAAAAATGTGAGTACCAAACTCAGTTTTGCTCCTGCTTTATTTTTAAATATGCACACTTGTATGCTTGTGTGTTGTTGTTGATGACGATTACCGGTAATAGAAATGTGAGTAAGGTAAATGTGAGTAAGGTCCTCAACCTTTTTTGCGCCACGGACCGGTTTATGCCCGACAATATTTTTCACGGACCGGCCTTTAAGATGTCACGGATAAATACAACAAAATAAAACTAGTACCGGTACCGAAAAAAGAACATTTATTCATAACACACGTGAAAAGACCCAGGAAAACCGAGTTAACGATAAAAACTAACAAAATAACGCTGAAAACCGATAAAAACCCTGAAAACCATACATTTTACACCTGAGCCTCAACTCTCGCGGCCCGGTACCAAACGACTCACAGACCGGTACCAGTCCGAAGTCCGGGGGTTGGGGACCGCTGGTGTAGCAGATTCTTAGCTGGTGTGAAGTTAATACAGCCACGGAGTGATGACGGGGTCGCGGTAAAGCTGTCCATCCACATAGAGCCGGTCCACAGCGATGGCAGCGCGGGAGCCCTTCTGGATGAAGCCACGTCAGATTGTGAAGAGGACCCTGCGTCGTTACAGGATCTCTTTTGGGAACTGCCGATGCTTTGATTTCTAAAAGTAGCTGGTGATTGTACACATGTAGACCAAGGGCGTTTTGGGCTAACATAGAAAAGGATAAAGCTAGTAAAAGCCAAAGCAAAGCTAGCAGAGTTTACTGACGCAATGTCAACAGACGTGTCACCGTGCATACTGCTGCTGCCGTCTTGCCCCCAAAATTAGTGCCCCCCCTTTCACCCTTCGCACCAACTGAGCAGTGGAGAATAACACCAACAGGGGCAGTAAACTGAGCTAACTAGGAGCAGCTAGCTAGCCCAACTCAGCAGAGGTTTTCCCAGAGAGATGAAGAGCGTAAGAACTGAGGGGTGACTGTGATGGCAGGGGGATATGTTTGCATGTGGGGCTGTGCACACGTCATCACAGATCGTCTGCCTTAAAGGCGTGAATAAAGGTTTCCTCAGCCAGGCGTGATATCCCATACCCCGTGTGTTGTACCGAGTGTATTGACTGAAAAGAAACTACTTCAACCTTTGGTTTAAAACTAGTGTTAATGGAAGAAGTTTGAAGGTTGAGTTTGTTCCACGACTGCATTTCACTCACTGCCTCTGTTTGTATCTCTGTCACTCCAGGACCAAAATGGAGCGAGACGTCAGCGCTCTCAGGAGGCCGACAAACCTCACAGAAGAAAGGAACAGAAAAAATACAGCTGTGATGAGTGTGGGAAGGATTTTACTAAGGCTGGAAGCTTAAAAATACACCAACTGATCCACAGTGAAGTTAAACCATACAGCTGTGATGAGTGTGGAAAGGATTTTACTTATGCTGGAAGCTTGAAAAGACACCAACTCATCCACAGTGGAGTTAAAGCATACAGCTGTGATGAGTGTGGAAAGTCATTTACCCTGGCTGAACACCTAAAATCACACAAACCTGTTCACAGTGGAGTTAAAGCGTACAGCTGTGACTTGTGTGGAAGGTCTTTTACCCATGCTGGAAGCTTAAAAAGACACCAACTTCTCCACAATGGAGTTAAAGCGCACAGCTGTGAGTTGTGTGGACAGTCTTTTACCCTGGCCGAACACTTAAAAACACACCAACTCATACACAGTGGAGTTAAACCGTACAGCTGTGGTTTGTGTGGACAGTCTTTTACCCATCCTGGAAGCTTAAAAGCACACCAACTCATACACAGTGGAGTTAAACCGTACAGCTGTGACTTGTGTGGACAGTCTTTTACCCAGGCTGCACACTTAAAAAGACACCAACTCATACACAGTGGAGTTAAACCGTACAGCTGTGACTTGTGTGGACAGTCTTTTACCCGGGCTGGAAACTTAAAAAGACACCAAGTCATACACAGTGGAGTTAAACCATACAGCTGTGGTTTTTGTGGACAGTGTTTTACCCATCCTGGAAACTTAAAAGCACACCAACTCATCCACAGTGGAGTTCAAGCGTACAGCTGTGACTTGTGTGGACAGTCTTTTACCCGGGCTGGAAACTTAAAAAGACACCAATTCATACACAGTGGAGTTAAACCGTACAGCTGTGACTTGTGTGGACAGTCTTTTACCCGGGCTGGAAACTTAAAAGCACACCAACTTGTCCACAGTGGAGTTAAAGCATACAGCTCTGATCAGTCTGATAAAGCTTTTACTCATAGTAGCAGCCTACAGAATCATCAGGTTACCCACTCTGGATTCAAGGCGTACAGCTGTCACATTTGTGGAAAAACCTTCCGCTGGCCAGGCAACCGAAATATTCACCTACGCATTCACACCAAAATTGATGTTTGCTGCTGTGATCAGTGTGGCAAAATTTGTGTGACATACAAAAACTTAGAGCAGCACATGTTTTCCCACACTGAGGAGAGACCTTATAAATGTGACCTGTGTGAGAAGACTTTTAAATCTCCACATTACCTCAAATCACATCAAAAGATTCACAGCAGAAAGAAACTCTAAAAGTGCAGTTACTGTGAGGTATGTATTTTTCTTTTTACAGTTATTTCGAAGTATTATGTGAATGAAATTTAATTTCAAAGCTTATATGAGACATGAAAACTTCACATACAGAATATTGAGTAACATCTGACACAAATTTCCTGAAACTTTCCTGATATTGCAAAAACGTAACATTTTAAAAGCTTCTCTCATTTCTAACATTCACACTCCAATGGATGCAATGCATATGCAGAGTAGAGCATCCAGGGGTTTAAACCACCAATCTTCCCATTAAGTAGATTACCTACAAATTAAGAGTTATTGCAGCCCAGTAAGCTGACTGTTATAATGTAAAAATTAAAATGTGGAAGTTGGCAGAGCTGCTCTTTATTTCAGGCGACGTTCAGGATAGAAATGTTGAAGGAATTCCCTGACTTACACGGTCATTGTGTCTTTGTTTAGAAGCAGAGCAACACAGATGGATCCCTGTCGTCACTGTGGTGGTGGGAAAGTGTTTCGCTGTGATCTTTGTGGAAAAACTTAGTCATTTAAAGAGCCTAAAAATACGTCAACGCAGACACACTGGAGACGAAATGAATTACTGCAAAGAATGTGGGAGAGGCTTCCCCACATCAAGTGAATTAAAACAACATGAACTCTGTCACAGTGGGGTAAAAAAGCACGTTTGTGACCAGTGTGGGTCATCCTTCATCAGTGCAGGTAATCTTAAAGAGCATAAGAGTGCACACAGGAGAGAAACCATACAAGTGCAGACACTGTGACCAAAGGTTCTCACAGTCAGATATTCATAACCTTCATGAACTTACACACATTGAAGGGAGCTACAGCTGTGACCAGTGTGACAAGAGCTTCAAGAATCTCAGTTCATACCCCGAACACAAACGATCCCACGCTGTAAATAAACTGTTTCACTGTTACCAATGTGCAAAAACATTCACTTCGTTATCTGCTCTGTGCAAACATCAGCGTGATCATGCAGGACTGAAATCACTGTATCACAATCAATCTGAAGATCCTCTTCTGGTTTCAGGATCAGACTTAAAAACCTTGAGATCAGGCTCCACAGATTTCAGCTGGAGTCTCCTGTAAAGAGTGCAGCTGATGTCACACTTGGATCTGATGAGCTAGCTCTGCTTTCTGGACCTGCAGTGAATAATCCTAAATGTTACAGTTAGGGAACTACAAGTGTGTATATATATGTACATCAAGTTTATCTTTTATTTTTTTTCCTTTGGATAATTTTACAGTGGTAAACAGTAGTGGTAGAGCTGTGCGATATGACCAAAATCTCATATCCCATTATAAGACATCTTTTGTGCGGACAACGATATAAATCACAAAAATGTAACATTTTCGGTAAATTCTGTGAATCTCGGGCAGCTCGACTTGCGTGACGTGTTTCCAGCTGGGTGTCATGTACCTGGAGTCGAGTGTTTTAACAGATGCATGAAATTATACATTTTTAGACAGAAGTTGTAATGGCTGCCATTTTCTTTGTATTTATTACACGGCGTGCTGCGGGAAAAAGGCTGTTCTAACGTTTCAGTGTAAGGTTTATTTTTTTAGCACCTGACGGCTCCTTTCTGCTTCTCGTCCGTGAACACTCTTCATACTCTTTCGCAAGATTCAGTTTATTTTGAAAAGTCTCAACAGGATCTTGAGCTTTATTGTGAAAAGTTTTTGTGCAAAACAAACAAGCGGACTAAGGACAGCGCTAGTAAGTACTAGAGATGGACCGATCCGATATTACGTATCAGTCCAGTACTGACCTAAATTACTGGATCGGATATCGGAGAGAAATAAAAAATGTAATCCGATCCATTAAATATCTAAAAAGCACCTCACAAAACTTGCGACATGGCACAACTCGGCTCATAACCATAGCACATCGGAGCTGTATGCGTCACGTGATGGAGCAGCTGTGGCATGGGAGACCTGTCGGCGGTCTGGTTGAGCATTTGGAGCCTCGCTACCAAACCGTCATTTCAGTTATCCCAGAGAGAAGTAAAGCACGTGTGCAAGTTCATCTCTGAATGTTTGTAAAGCATTCCCACGTTAAGCTTAACAACCGATATATGGAGCGACTGCCTCTTCTCTCTCCCTCCCTCTCCTGCTGCTACTTCAATCGTGAAACTGATTAATGATCAGCTGATCGGCTTTTCTGTCGCGAGTCTGTCTCTCTTGTTTGTTTTTGGCCCACTTTGCACCAGAAAGAGGAAACCAGCAGCTGAACAACAGCAGCACGTTTAAGCTTGATAATCTGTTGGTAGAATTTATTTAATATTACTTTCTACACCAGGATCCTTTTCCAGCTGACGGCTGTAACTGTGCAGGGGCGGAGCAAAGTTTAGCCAGGGGGGCCGATAGGGCATGAACAGCGAAAAGGGGGCACAAAGACGTACTTTCTTTCTTATTCTCATTTAAAATATCTAGCGTTTAATAAATAATTATCTGAATCTTACACGCAAAGTTTTAATCTGATGTAAAATGTATAGAAGTCCATTACTGTATATAGTAACTATTAAGTCTAATATACCCTAGTAAGCTGTAGTACTTTTTCCTTTGGGAAGGTACCATCTGTGCAGTCTGAAGTTCTGTTGAAGAAAGATGTTGAATCTATTTAACTATCGTTAAAAAATAATTGATTTCTGTGTATTTTTTTTCACACTGCATCAAATTAAAGTTGATTACGTCGATTAAGCATCATGAGGTGGGGGGTGGTTCCCTATTTTTATTTTTTATTTTTTGCTGGCAGTTTGCCATCCTATTAGTTAGGCTGCTTACTCTTTAAAATACATGAATAGGGAGGATGGTGCAGGTTTAAGGTTATTAGATTGATCAGTTTTGCTGAACTATGAAATATTTTGGGTGCAGTGTATTTATTGCATACAGGTATAACAGAATAGCTTTAGTAGGTTTTTTTAAAACTAGAGTTTGAACTTATACAAAATGCAGCAAGATATTAAAAAACAGTTTATTGATTAAAAACACACTATCGGATTCATATTGGTATCCGCTGATATCCAAATTTATGATATCGGCATCGGACATAAAAAAAAAAAAAGTGGTATCGTGCCATCTCTAGTAAGTACTCTCTGCTTATGACCCAAAAACCCCCACAAAAAAACAGAAGTTTTAGGAGTGACGGTGAGAGAGAGAGACAGCAGAAAAAGAGAGAGAGCGAGTTCTGAACAACTCAGAACGAGGCCTCAGAACAAATAAAATCAATATTCGAACCCAAAGTAAAAACAAGATCCAGTGTGTGCCCTTTGTTATGTGTGGGGCCTGACACATGCGGCGTAAAATGAAAATAAACCATAATGTTGATAAAATTTCTGGCAAAGACGTTGGAGTCATCATCAACATGTAGGTTAAAATCCCCAACTAAAAGCAGTCAGGACAACCTCATAGTAGAGGACAGGACGTAGGTGATCCAGGAAAAGAAAAAAAGGACACAAAGACAAAGGTGTTCTACTAAGTTGAGAGCAGGACACTGTGCAGACCAGTCAAGTTCTCCCACACCAAACTCTCTTTATGGACCTTGCTTTGTGCACTGGTGCACAGTCACGTTGGAAGAGGAAGGGGCCATCCCCGAACTGTTCCCACAAAGTTGAGAGCATGAAAATGTCTGCTGAGCTGGAAGCAGCCGGAAAGCTGTAGAAGCCCAGAAGTGGAATGTGGAAGTTAATAAACACACTTGTCCTGTAAAAGAAAAAAAGAAAAAGAAAAAAAGGACAGGAAGTAGCTGAACTCCAACAAAAATAAGCTGTTTGGGCCAGCTGGACGATTCACTACAGCACAATAAAAAGGATCCTTATTTCCGACAGAAAATATCCAATTTTCACTCAGTCAGGTCTCAGTCAGAAATAAGAAGTCCAGTTTTTTAGAAGATATAAAATCGTTAAGCATGAACGACTTATTAGTCAATGATCGGGCATTAAAAAGCACCATGTTCAGCGGGGTGGAAGGATCGTTTTTAGCAGAGGCTCGAATTATTGGACGTAAATACTCACCAGTGGCGGTCCTAGCCAAACAGGCTAGGACCGCCACTGGTGAGAATACACCTCCCTATCTCCTTACCTTTTGTTTTCATGCTGATATCAGCTTTAACCAACACAATAAAGTCTCTTTTTATTGTTGTGTAGTGTGAGATTATTATATTATCTTATGCCACATTATACCCCTAATTAAAGATTGTGAAATTATTATGTAGTTTTAGTTTCCATTATTCTCCTGACTTAGAAGAAGGTGATAACTATTACATTTATTAAACTGATTTGTATTTCATTAGACTGCTGACTTATTATGAATGGATGATATTGTTTTATGATGCATGTTACTGCTGCGTTATAAGAAATATTGTTTTCAGAGAGTCATGGCCTTATTTGTCTGATTAGAAAAGAACAGAACATACTGCACAGGAAGCCAAGGTCATAACTTCGGCTCACTGAGAGAGAGAAAGAATGTGGATGTTTAGGTTTTATGACTTTGGAGGGGGGCTGAAGGTATAAGAAAGTGAGAAACGCTCAGACACTTCAAGATCAGGCGGACACCCTCCCGCGCTCATCTCCCCTCCGGGTGGTTTATGCTCAAAAGTGTTGTATGGAATAATGAGAATTGTATGGAATAAAATGATTGTTGATTGTGCATTTATGTGTTGTCCTTCCTTCAGCCCAAAGATGAAAGAATTGGGAGAATTTAACAGTAGAACACGATTTTATCACAGGCAAGGCCATGGAAGCTCTCCTATCTGAAACTGTTCTGTGAGCAATATACCTTCAACTCTCCCTAATAAGGGCATGCTGTCGGTTTCATAGCATTTATCAATTTTTACCCACCAAGTTGACAACATCACTCTCTCACTCTCTGTGGGCAGAGCAAGAAGAAGGCTTCCATATCCAGGATTTTTCCAAACATGATCCGAAGCCTCGGCGCAGTGCGGCCCATCCCTCATCTAAAGGTAAGCGCCGAGCTAATGAGGTCTTCTGCTGCTCTCCTCGTTGTCTGTTCACAGTTTATTGTGAACACGTTGAGAGAAGAGTGAGAGAGTGTTTGGAGAAAAACACCAGCTAATCATTAGCTCAGCATGCTGGGAGAAGTTGAGCATTTGCTCGCAGAAATTTGGAGCAGAAAAGTCTTTTCATTGTTCCTGCAGCTGTTTTTCTGCATGCACCAAACCTCTACGGCCTCAATTCTATTTGAAGTGATAACAGGAAATCTGATCTACAGCTGCACCCTATCATCTAAACAAACTTGAGCACATTTTATTTTAGTCATTGTTTTCTTCTACGTGCAGTACAGAAAATCTCAACAAAAGTAATCAGTTGGCATCTGTGATTAGTTAGTGTGGTCTGAACAACTTCTTCTTTGATTGGGTGACAGCAGTTGAAAGTAATTGGATGTGACAATTATGGGGAGGGCCCTGAATAATGTTAAGAAAATGGCATTTTAAAAGCTGTCACAGTTGGCACTGAGCTCTGGAAAAATTGACGTTTTTACTGGTCTTTGAACGCCGCTTTTTCTGCCAGGCAGAAAGCAAGGGTTTAAAGCCGCCCACTGGTGTAAAATCGGCGCTCTCACTTTTTACACGTCGATTTTACGTCATTGATTGATTGAGACCACGAGGCTGACCTCAGCGAAGATCAGAACGCAGTTATTGCTCTGTTAGTTTCAGCATCAAAGATCTGCAGTGACAACCAGAGGTGTGGCCTCGAGTCACATGACTTGGACTTGAGTCACATGACTTGATGTCATTTAGTCATTTAGTTTATGACTTTAGACTTGACTTGGACTTTTAAACCAATGACTTGGGCTTGAACCTGTTTACTTCAAAGACTTGAGATTTTACCCCAAATCTAAAATGTAACACACATATTACATAAAAAGTGCGCACTGTTAATTCATTTCATTCATTCTTACCACACTGCGTACTTATGGGTGCGTGAGCTGTATCACAGCCAATCAAGTGAACCAGATTTTGTTTTTAAATAACAAAAAACAAACGGTCAGGCCAAAAATGCCCCTGTGATTCATTTTTTTCAGGTAGATAAACTATGAAGTAGTGTGTGTGTAGCCGGAAACACGTGATCTCCACAGTAGGCGGAAATACGTTCCTGCATGGATCATCAACTGCGGAAACCTTGCAAGTTGATCGTAAAGGTTAGCACAGAGTCTTTCATACATAAATTCGCCGTTAATAATTATATAATTCTAGGAATCATCTACTTTGTTTACACTGATTACGTTGGCACTTTGTTAGCGTTACAACAACGGTCAGACCCCCGAGGTATCTAAACTTTAGTAAGGAATGTGCACTTTTGACACCTCTGGTTAGCATTTAGTGGTCAGTTTCAAATGTATTTAATTTTTGCTTGTTATGAACAAATTCACTTCACTGCTTTTCACGATCTGTAACATCAATGCACATTGTTCCATTTACTGCATATTGCACTTTATTCATGTCTCTCATTCCACCTGCATCAACATTGTAAAGTTTGTCATGAAGAGATTTATATATTTATAAATATTCTCTATTCCATTCTGTTCTGCTTTTTTATTGCCCAGATTAGTTAGTCTTTGTTAAATTGTCTGTTATATGTCAATAGATACGTATGTCACAAATAAAAGTGTCTTGAAAATTATGTTTTTATAAAGAATTTTCTCCCAAATCTCTTACATGCTAACTGTAACGTGTTATTTCTGCTAAAACCTGAACTTAAATGTGTATATGGTGTTTATCTGTTTTTCTCTCTGTTTTAGATGCACATATCAATGTGGATTTCTGCCTCCAAGCCAGAATTGCAGGAATGCACAACATGTTGCAGAAGACTCTTTCACTGCCCTCTGTGCCCCACTTTCAGCCCTACTGTCAGGGCAAAGATCGAGGAGCATATAAATGGACACATTAAAAATGCTTTGTGATGGGTCTGTCTAGCACAGACACACTGGAACGAGAGAATTTTAATACAACACCAAAAAGCATTAGACACCAAGCAGACAAAGTTCTTTGTGTTACTCGTATACGAGGGAGAGAACCACGACAAGCGCTGTTCCTTCGTTTGACCTCAGTCGCTCTCGTCGGCTCCCTCATAACACTGCTCTTTTATTGAGGTTACATGAATATACATAGGTTTATTAACATATATGACGTCTACATACAAACGAAGAGTACCTTGTCTGTGTGTTCTGTGTGTGTGTGTGTAAACAACTTCCTTAAACCTGCTGGTCTGGAAGTCCACCAGTTCATCTAAACAAAAAGCACTTAGACTAGAACAGATATAGATACGTTTATCCTACCACAAAACAATAAGAGAAGGTACGACCTCTCCCACGCTCCCAGGATGTGGGTGTGAATGACAGAACACTCTGGAATGCACGCAAAGTCTTTGCAGGCTCCTAAGGATCAACCCTCTACCAACATGACATTGATTATAAAACTCTAAGCATATATGAGTAGATATTTCTAAGCATAAATGACAATCCAATAATGTAAACCTGACAGTTCCGCCCTTTAGAAAAGTTCCCAGTTATGATCACCGCATGTCTGACAGTGTCAATGCAAACACACAGCATATGTCAATCACCCTAAATTACTGTAAAAGTACAAATGTATTAGCAGCCCTCTTATTCCTCATTGATCTCATCCAATGGTAAACTGCATCCCACAAGTGAACAAACGAATTGTTAATCGTTAAAGGAGAAATTAACATCCCAGCTTGGTGGTGTTCCTCATCTAGGCATGTAAATCACACGTCTCTCTGCAGAGTGTTTTAAGTTCTGCAGGGCGTCATAAATGTCTCTTCCAGTTGTCTCCATCACTGTCCACAGGACCAGAGTCCAACATGTATGTAGAATAGACATTCAAACATACCAGGTGGTTTTGTTGCTTGTCAACATGGCTGTCAGCTATCTCCAAAGCTGCAGGCCTCGTCCTGCGAGGGGGATTTCATGACTCCTCTACTGTCCATCCCTCTCTGCAGAAAAACCCCTGTGTGGAAAGCGTGCTGGATCCAGTTATCTTACTGCTGTTATGATCCCAGCAGTCTTCAGAGTGTCATTGTATGCATAGTACAGTGGCACAGCATTAGGTGATGTTCATAGGAGATTGCTGCCGTCACCACCATAGCTTCTGGTTCCTGTGCTTTTCACAGAATCATGATCCCATCCTCGAACTCCCTCTGCGCTGTGGATGGAGCTTGGCACGCTCCCCTCATCCTTCAGGTGCCCGTCTGTTGTCCACAATCTCCTCTGTTGGCCTCTGGAAATCCCCCTCGGCACAGCTCTCATTCCAACGCAGCTTCATGGTCCTTGCTGTGGCTCTGGAATCTGATCTGACGATGGGCCCCAAGCAGCACGACCTTTGACCTCAACCACTGACTGGGCTGTCAGCTATGCCTGGAATGGTTCTTGCTTCTCACTGGGCCTCTGAAGATTTTTAGGAGATCCCTTTCAGCAATATTCTGACTGCTGCACCTGTATTTCCTTGCTAAGAGGAAAAACTTCTATTTGGAGAGCATGTCAACAATCATCAAACCACATTTCTCTTTAGTTCAGTGAACTTCACTTATAGGCCGTGAAAGCCTCATCTGAACCTGGATGCACCACTTGCATAGTTTTAATACCTGTAAATGAACTGTTAATTCCACAAATCCATGCAAAAATCATATAAGACATAGAAAACATAATGTAAACCTGACACTTTGCCTTTCAAAGGTATGTTGGCATTAAATATACCTCATAGTTAAAGTTATAAATATGCACTTCTTTTCAGCACTTCTGCAGTCTCTTTGTTGACTTAAAAGTTGCTTTTCACATTGTACAGTTCAATTCATTCATCAGCAAGACAAAAAGTGTGTTTTCATAAAAAATGTTTTCCTGTTCACCACATTTTTTGACAGCTCTTATGATTTATACCAATTTGCTTTCATTATTGAGGATGGCTTGGATATTTTTGTTAATATGTACAATATGTTGTTTGTTTTTATATGTACAATCAGATTGTTAGATAAACTGATTGCATTCTGTACAACTACTTTACATGTTGTTGACTTTTCTTTTTTTTCTCTCTCTCTTCCAGACAAAATGATATGCCGGTGCACTTTCGCTGCCCTGTCTGTAACATGACAGTCATACAGCGTGGTGATATGGCAAGGCATTAATTGTCATGTCAGCATTCAGGACTGCTCCCCACTGAACTCTCCGATGAGCCCTGCCCCTCTCCCGCTGACCAGATCACAAGCTTGTTGATAAATGGGACTGAATGCAAAGATTTCAGAGAGATTGAAAAGGAAGTCTTCACTTTTTATTCCAAATTGTACTCCTGAGAATATTCAGCAGCTGATTCTGATAGTTTCTTTAATAAGATTCATAATCTCATCCCATGTATTGACAAGCCGTTCAAAGATCTGTGTGATTCAGAGCTTAAAATTGAGGAACTGGATTTAGTGATCATGAAAATGGCATTAGACAAGTCCCCAGGGACAGATGGACTCACTACTAATTTTTATCAATTCTTCTGGAAGGACCTAAGAACCTTATTATTTGATGCATTAAAGGAATCTATAGAGAAGAAAGAACTGATGCCAAGCATGAAACAAGAGTTGATAACCCTGATCCCTAAATCGGGTAACGATAAAAATTTAAAACCCATCACCTTAAACACGGACTATAAGATCCTGTCTGGCAAAGGGCTGAGAGGCTAAAGAAAGGCATCTCAAACATTATCAGTGAAACACAATCAGGTTTTTTGAAAGGAAGACTAATTGTTAACAATATTAGGCTGATTTTGGGACCTCCTTGAGTACAGTGAAATAATCCAAGAGAGAGGGTACATCCTGTACAAAGCATTTGACTCAGTTGAACATACGTTCATATTAAAACTCTGCAGTCTTTTGGTTTTGGAGAGGAATTTATAAATGTTATAGAGATGCTATATAATGACATCAACAGCTCTGTTTTGCTAGAACATGGTACATGTTCAAGGTTGAGGTTAATAGAGGGATAAGGCAGGGATGTAGCAGCTCACCACTTCTGTTCATCAAGGTTGCTGAGCTGTTATCTATTTTGACTAAAAACAGTCACATTGACGGGTTAACTGTGATGGGTGAACGGATAATAATCAGTCAGCTAGCAGATGATACCACCCTGTTTTTAAAAAAATGAGGACCAGATTCCTTTAGCCTTACAGGTGATCAACCACTTCTCCAAAGCTTCTGGCCTACAGCTGAATATTATTAAATGTGAGACACTAGCTCTGCATGAGTGTTCCCTGCAGGCAATAAATAATATACAGATAAAAAAAAAGAGATGAAGTATCTGGGCATTGTAATTTGCAAGGATAAGACATCAACAGAAAATAAGAATATCTGTACCAATATAGAAAAGTGTAAGTTTTAAACTGGTGGCTGCAGAGGGACATAACTCTGTTTGGGAGAATCTTGCTAACCAACATGGACCAAAGAGTAATCTTTTTTTTTTTTTTTTTCCTGTCCCGTTTGGCTCTTTTGCCATCAGAATTGTTGTCTAAAGGCAAAGAAAGATGCCCAACGGATTTACTTTACCAAATTGACCATCCCAGCCTTGCCGTAATGGTCCATTTGATTCACCTTTTATTGTTTATTTTATTTTCACTTACTGAATACGGGACAGACTTGACTGGGGGAAAGAAGGGGAAAGAGAGAGGGAAAGAGAAACAGCTGAGAAGAGGGACGGGGGAGAAGGGCAAAAGACAAAAACCAATAGAATAAGCAGAAAAAAAAAGAAAAGAAAAAGAAAATGCATATATCAATCACCTGGATCACCTGCTGAGAAAGAAAAAAGAAAACAAGCAGAAGAGAACAAGAGTAATAGAATAAACAACATCACAATGATATATGAGAATATGACAGTAAATACTAAATATTAAACATTATTGTGCAGCACATAAGATCAACAGAACACAGTGTGCTTTGAGGTAGGAGCCAAAAAGGGTGTAGTTTGTGGGTGTGATCACCCGTGTGTACACCTGTGAGCATGGACGCGCTTGTTTTTAAAAGGTTCATGTAATGATCTGTTAGAGGGTGTGGGGGGGCCACAGCCCCGTCCTCCAGGGCATGAAGCAGGTATGGAGGAGATCAAAACTCCAGACATCCAGAGGCCCCCAGACCACAAGAGACCAAGGAAGACCAACAGAGGGGCAGCTGCGCCACTGTCCCAGAAAGAGCTGAGGAGAGTCCCAGATGAGGGCTCACTCAGCAGCCGCGGAGCAGAAGCCAGGGGGGGTTGCAGTGACGAGCCCGTGAGCTCCGCTGGCAGCCAGCTGTGCCTGAGTGACCGAGCCCCAGGCCGAGAAACCGAGGGCACCCCACCCCAGAAGTGGCCCGAGCGAGCCAAAGAGTAAACTTTCAAAAGTAAGTACTGAACATAACAATATTAGTAATTTCACAATATCGGGGTCAACCTTCAGGATCAATAAAGTTTTATTGAATTGTTAGTTGACCTTAATCTTACAGAGAATGTGATGATTTCATGGATATTTAAAGTCAGCACTGAGACAAATTTAGTAATGCCAACATTACAAAAGAACAATATTTGTCTCTTATATATAACACAGTCAAAGGAACCTGTCTTTAAGTGAAGATTTAAGGTGACGGGAAATATAAATAAGTGCAGCTTGAATCTTTACTGAAGCTCAGTATTTGAAACAGAGTTCATGTTCACTGCTGTAATAACTATAATGATTGAAATAACAACCTTAATATTGGCCATATTATATTTACATTACCAAAGTAAGATGACTTTAGTCTCATGAACAACATGAGCTAATTGTTATTTACTAGCTGATCTTAAATGACTGTTCAGTACAGAAATGAAGCCCAACAATCATGTTTTACAGTCCTGTGGTCTCAGCCTCAGATATTTATCAAATCAA